TTTTTCCGTGTCCGGCAACGGATCGCAACCCTCAGTGTTGCCCCCCTACCAGACCGGGGACTGGCAACGGGATTGCAACCCTCGGCGTTGTTCCCGCGCCTCACTCAGCCAGTGAGCGGGAACCGGTCTGTATGTGGGATCCGAACCCTCAGGCGGGAGCGCTGCCACGCTTCCCAAGCGGTGCACTATCCAGTGCGCCACCGGGCCGGCCCCCAACTTACTCAATTTTAACAACTGTTATAACATCCTTATTTACATATACAGGAATTAAGGACAAAGGGTTAAATAACCTCTCTAGGGGCCGGCCTGGTGGTGCACTGGAGAGTGCGCCGCTTGGGAGTGCAGCCCCGCTCCCGCCGAGGGTTCACATCCTATGTGGAGACCAGTACCCACTCACTGGCTGAGCGCGGTGTGGACGCAACACCGAGGGTTGCGATCCCGTTGCCGGTCCCCGGTATGGGCGCGACACCGAGCAATCCCGTTACCGGTCAGTAAAAAATAAATAAATAAATAAATAAATAAATAACCTCTCTAGTATCGTATAACATCAGGATTCTAACTCAAGCAGGATTCTAACTCCAGAGCCTGCTCCCTAAGACCCAAATGCCAGTCCAGACCCTGTGATGGGTGGGCTTCTTTTCTCTTTTTTTACATCAACATTTTAGGAGCATAATGTACAAACAATAAAATGGACCCATTTCAAATGTACAGTTCGATGAGTTCTGACAAGTTATATATACCTGTTTAGCTCCCATCACAATCAAGATTTAGTACCTTCCTATCACATCAGTAGGTTCACTAGAACTCCCTTTGCAGTCAACGCCCTTGTCACCTAGAGTAGTTTTGACTTTCCCAAGCATCATATACATGGGTAAGTATTCTCTGTGTTTGGCTTCTTTCACACAGAAACATGTTTTTGAGGCATGTTTCTCAGCATGTCCGTTGCATCCATCCATGCTGTTGCTTCCATCAAGAATTCATTTCTTGGGGCCGGCCCAGTGGCGCACTGCTACAGTGTGCCGCTTGGGAGTGTGGCCACGCTCCCGCCGAGGGTTCGGATCCCACATACAGACCGGCCGCTCACTGGCTGAGCGAGGTGCAGGTGCAACACCGAGGGTTGCGATCCGTTGCCGGTCACGATAAAAGACAAAAAGACAAAAAAAAAAAAAAGAATTCATTTCTTGGGGCCGGCCCAGTGGCGCACTGCTACAGTGTGCCGCTTGGGAGTGTGGCCACGCTCCCGCCGAGGGTTCGGATCCCACATACAGACTGGCCGCTCACTGGCTTAGCGAGGTGCAGGTACAACACCGAGGGTTGCGATCCGTTGCCGGTCACGAAAAAAGACAAAAAGACAAAAAAAAAAAAAAGAATTCATTTCTTGGGGCCGGCCCAGTGGCGCACTGCTACAGTGTGCCGCTTGGGA